AGTTTTTGTTCTCTTCTGTTCCTTGCATTGCATCTTTTTTTTTTTAATTTTCCTTTATTCCACATGTTTGTTTTATCTATTATTAGAGATTTTCATCAAATATTTTGTGATCTTTGACTATCCATTCATATGTAAGGATGAGGCATGAAAAAAATCAGATTGGAAGCTTTGTGTATATGGGGAGGATATTTTGGGTGGTAGTTTTCTCTCTAGAGTGATCTGGGTGGACTATTTTATGGAGAGACCATCCAACTTCATTTCTGTTCGTTCTTTTTTCTTAGAATAGTTGGTTTCCCCAGTGAGAATTCCTTCAATATTTTGCCTGAGTGTGAGGAAGTGATAGAAGACAGGCTGGCCGTATTTACTGTGAGCCAAGTTGGGGAAAAGGGCTGGTGGTCTCTGTATGTAGACTCTCACTAAATCCCCCTGTTTTCATTTTCGCCCTCCACTTTTAACTATTCCTCAGGTCCTAAGTTACCCTCCAGTATTCTGCTGAGTGCAGGGGAATAAATTCTGTGCATGCCCAGATTGGTGAAAGGGTTTGAGGTTTATATGGTCTTTCAACTAATCCTCCTGCTTTAGGCTCAACTATTTCCCACTTTTAGAAGTATCTTGTGTCTCTGATTTTTTTCACAGATTCTGTGAGATGACTTATCTGGTTTCTGAACTTTCCTAACTACCAGCTTAGTTTTCAGATTTCTCCAGCCTGCTAAGTTAATCACCACTTTTCCATCTTCTCTCCAGCTTCCAAAATGTTCCTGCTGCGTCTTCACTCATAGTCTTTTTGTCTTTGTGGGTATATCCCTTCTGAAAATCCCACTATTATCCCTTTACGGACTTTTTAGCATTTTGTTTTGTTTTATTCTTTGGAAGAGAACAGAAGTAAACACATGTGATCAGTCATGTTTCCTGCAACTCCATTAGCTCCTAAGAATTAAAAAAAAAAAAAAAAAAAAAAACTTACATTAAAGTTTTTTTCAGACTCTATGAAGATAAAGTAAGAGAAGTGTATGTAAAGCTCTTAAAATGGAGTGTTGGAAATAGCAAGTGCTATGCAAGTATTGCTGTTAATATTTGTTTGTTTAAAAGAGAATTCTATCATTTGTTGAGTGTGTAGACTATCATTCATGACATAAATATTTTTTCTCCTTTGGAATTTTTGTTTAAAAACTCATATTGAATGGGAGTTTGAGGTTTCTATCCAGAGGTTTTGTGGTTGCCTCCACAAATACCTATCCCCAAGGTCCCCAGTTCAAAACCAGGTCTTCTATTTTGGGCTCTCATCAGGAGCATGTTGCATAACCCCTCCCAGAACTAGTTAGTAGCTTGACTCAATAACTAGACTCAAGTTATCCCTATTGTCTCATGTCATCCCAGGCAACCAATCGTTACCAGCTGCACACAACTACAGTTGAATCTTTTTTTCTTTTTTTCCAGCCCTCACAGTTGAATCTTTTTTCCATCCTTCATTCATGGGTCAGGAAGCCCCACGTTACTCCTCCATTTCAAGAAGTGAGCCTAGCTCCAGTCATTCACCTCACTGTGGTGCTACTTATTTAATTTTCCTGTACAAGTTGAAATCGCAGCTGCCATTGCAAGTTTCAAGTCCTGGAGTCCAGTAAGCCTGGACTTTACCACTGCACATTTCCACCTGCTATCTGGGCTACTAAGATGTTTATTTTGTATGAGAGACTGTCTTTGCTTATTGTTTTTTCAACTGTTATTGCTTTTTTTTTTTTTTAACAAAGGGGAACTCAATTAGCTATCTTAACTTACTCCATTATCCCCTTCCCCGCTTGCTTTTTTAGATATACTTTTTCAGACTAAGCAAGTTTTTTGTCATGAATATCTGTTGAACCTTATAAAATGTTTTTCTACCTCTATTGAAGTGGTCTTGATTTTTCTGCTATTTATGTTGTTAATGTAGTAAAGTACATTGATTTTCCAAGGTTGAATTAACCTTACGTTCCTGGAATAAACCCTACTTGGTCACAATGTAATATTCTTTTTATATATCACTAGATTGCCAAGATTTGTTTAGGATTTTTACATCTGGGTTTATGAGAGACATCAGCCTAAATGAGTTTGGAAGTTTTTTCTCTTCTTACATTTTCGGGAGTGTTTATTTAAGGTTGACATTATTTATTCCATAAATGTTTAGTTGAATTCACCAAGGAAGCCATCTGACACTGAAAGTTTTTGTTTTTTGTTTGTTTTTTAATGTTTTAAATTAAAATTTTAATTTAATAGAGCATAAGTTAGACTTTTCTCTTTATTTTTGTGTTAGTTTTCTTAGAATTTTTCCAGTCCATGTAAATTTTTAAATATATTGGCATGATTTTTTTTTAATGTCTGCAATGTACCCCTTTTCATTCTTGACATTGTTAAGTTGTACATTTTTTTTTCCTTCATATGTCTCCAGCAGTTTATCAATGGTATTAGTCTTTTGAAGAACCAACTTTTGGTTGTTTTCTAGTTCATTCATTTCTCTTCTCATCTTTATTGTTTCCTTTCTTCCACTTTCTTTGGGTTTAATTTGCTGTTCTTTTTTTAATCTATTGAAGTGGATACTTAGATTCTTCATTTTCAGCCTTTTTCTTTTTAATACATGCATTTAAGGCTATTGATCTTCTTATCATGGCTTTAGCTGCATCCCACAGGTTTTGATATTTCATATTTTTATTAACATACAGTTAAAGAGTACTATCTAATTTGCATTGTGATTTCTTATTTGACCCATGGGTAATTTAGATGATTATTGCATAATTTCTAAATATTTAGGGATTTTCTAGTTTAATTCCACTGTAGTTAGAAAACATAGTCTGTTTTACTTTAATCCTTTGATTAATTTGCTTTTATTTTATTTAGGGTTTATACAGCTATTATTATATGTAAAATTTATATTCTTTGTGTATATTACCTTTGTCAGATTTTGTGCTCAGGTTTTTGCTAGCTTCATAATATACATTAAAATATTTTAATCCTCTACTTTGGAGCATTATAAATAACATGGGAATTAATCTGTTTCCCAAAAATTTGTAGAAACTCAACCACAAATTGACAGAGTCCAGTCCCATTCTTGAGGGGAACTTTTTTAGTTTCCTCAGCAGTTACCTATTTCACCAAGATTTTTAACTGTATTATTAAATCCTTTATTTTCTTACTAAAGTTTGCCTTCTTTATATGCCAGCATTTTTACAGAAACAGTTTAATTTTTTTAATCTTAAAATTGTATTTCTGTCCATTTTTTTAATATCTAATAGCTTTGCTTTATACATATTTATACTTTTTATTCCATCCTCAAAATTTATAATTATTATCTCTTCACTGTGAGTTATTTTCTTCGTAAAGTTTTACTTTTTGTCTTATTATATTTGACATATTTAAATATATTTATATATTTTAAATAAATATATATTTGTTAGTATATTTTCCATTTTTTCTGTACTTACACAATTAAAACATGTATTATAAAAAATTAGAAATGAGGAAAACTGAAAGTCATTTTTAGATAAATACTAATTTTTTCAAAGACCTAACTTAACTTTTTTCTGATAATGAATGCTTATTCTAAGAAAAATCAGGGGAAAACCCCAGTAAAAATACAGGAAATTAAAATCTCATCACTTAGAAATCATCACTGCTAACATTTTGATGTTTAATTATCCAGACTTTTTTTTCCTGCATGCATTGATAAATACACAAAACACCATTATACTCCACAAGCTGTTTTATGGCCTAGTGTGTCTTTTCTAATAAAAACGTATCATGAATGTATTTTTATGTACAATAATTTTACACTTTCTCATGATATATCTCTACAGTAACTAGTAAAAATCCGTACTCTCTAATTAAAAATTTTGCAAATTCAAATAAGCATAATGTACAATTTTTCACCTACAAGTTGTACAGAGATTTTTAAAATAATACTTTCCAGCATTGGTATGGATGTGGTAAGCTAGGTACTCTCATATGTTTTAGGTGGGAGTGTATATTGGGAAAATCTTCCTTGAAGGCAACTTGGAAATACGTATCAAAAGCATCTGCCCCACTTTTCCTTTTTTTTACAGACGTTTCATGAGAAAACCTGATTTTTCCAGGATCATATTGGAAATGAATTACATTATATGTATGTTGGAAATCCAATCCTAACATAAAAGAATTTTCTTAGGGACATTCTAAATAATGAATCCAGGTGCCGAGAAGATTTCCCGGAGTGTGCTTTTAAGTATTTAAAATTTCTTTTGACACCTATATAAATCATCATTCCCTTGGGGTTCTATTCAAAACAAAATCAAAATTTTATTCTTGATATACGGTGGTAGGACAAGCCTGGTAGAAACCTGCTTCTTTTTACTCTTGACCTTCCCAAATGGGTAAGATTTTGAAACATTTTCCTGACATTTCTTGTTTTAATAGTTATATTTCTGTATTTTAATTGCATAAGTTGATGGAAACACTATGACTCTAGGACCTTTATAAACCAAATAAAACCAGTTGCTGTTGAGTTGATCCAACTCATGATGACCCCATGTGTGTCAGAGTAGAACTTTGTTCATAGGGTTTTCAATGGCTGCGTTTGCAAAAGTAGATCACCAGGCCTTTCTTCCAAGGTGCCTCCAGTGGACTTGAACCTCCAGCCTTTCAGTTAGAAGCAGAGTGTAGTAACCATGTGTATACCCAGAGACTCCAGGATCTTTATAAAACCAAAGAACCAAACCCGTTGCCGTCGAGTCGATTCCGACTCATAGTGACCCTACAGGACAGAGTAGAACTGCCTCATAGGGTTTCCCAGGAGCACCTGGTGGATTTGAACCACCAACCTTTTGATTAGCAGCCGTAGCACTTAACTACTTACTATGCCACCACGGTTTCCAGGATCTTTATACAGAGTGTGAATTCTGGAAGTCAAGAGAAGAACTTGGAATTGTTCATGCTCTGATTGTCATACATAATCCCATTGGATAATTCAACTTTCCCACTTACATTTTTTGATATAGGTGGCACATGGGCTCCTGGGGGCCCTGCTCAGCTACCTGTGGTGTTGGAATCCAGACCCGAGATGTGTACTGCCTGCACCCTGGGGAATCCCTTGCCCCTCCTGAGGAATGCAGAGCTGAAAAGCCCCATGCCTTGCAGGCATGCAATCAGTTTGATTGCCCTCCTGGCTGGCACATTGAAGAATGGCAGCAGGTATGGCAGATGGGCCTCTGTGGGCTGGCACAATTGTGAAGAACACTGCACTGCTCTCACACAGAATGGGCCACGCGGGCCTTGTTAACTCGTCTCCTCCTGTCTCCTCAGTGTTCCAGGACATGCGGTGGGGGAACTCAGAATCGAAGAGTCACCTGCCGGCAGCTGCTGACGGACGGCAGCTTTCTGAATCTCTCAGATGAATTGTGCCAGGGGCCCAAGGCGTCATCTCATAAGTCCTGTGCCAGAACAGATTGTCCTCCACATTTCACAGTGGGAGACTGGTCGCAGGTAAGGGCCATTCTGAACTTTACAGTCGCTTCTTTTCTGTCCCTCCTTTGTTTCGGCTTCTAAATATTTCCCCCGTAAGATCAGGGCTGGGACCAGTGTGGGAGGAGGGGGAGTAAAGCATCGGGGGCGCAAATTTTAAGGAGGCCTTCACTCTCAGGTGCTCTAGTCCAGACCTTGCACCAGATGGTTGGTTTGCAGTTTTTGCTCGACGTCTTAGTTTCCTAGCGCCGTAACAGAGACACCACAAGTGGGTGGTTTAAAGAACCAAAATTCATTTTCTCGCAGTCCTAGAGGCTAAAAGTCCAAATCAGGGTCTCAGCTGTGTGGATTCCTTCCTTGTCAGTAGCCCCGGGTGTTCCTTGGTGCCTTGGCTTGTAGACGATTCTCACATGGCATCTGCCTTCCCCAGTATGTGCAAGCATGTCTCTGTGTCTATGCTGCTCTTTATATATAACTCAGAAGTGATTAAGTTTAGGATCCATCCTACACTGGTAGGACTTCACCTTATTGATTACACCATATTTGATTGCATTATGGAAGGTGACTACATTACATTAGATTAGATTACATCCATAGGTATAGGGGTTCGGATTCCAGCACATATTTTGAGGCGACTCAATTCAATCCATAATACTCCGTATTATTTAAAACTTTACTCATTCATCTTTCTCCCAAAACCCACCCTAATCACTCACCCTTCTTTTGGAACTATCAGAATCATAATATCCCAGGATAGACTCAAAATTAGTTTGATTCTTCTCTTCCTTATATCCCTTCATAATGAATTATTTATTAAGCCCTGTCATTTCAACTTCCACAACACCTTCCTATATCTTTACTTCCCTTCTATTCTATTGATAGCCCTGATAATTTAACCCTTTATCATCTCAAGCTCAAATTATTGGCAATGAGTCAAATTCTAGTATGTCATGTCAGTACTGGCAGGACTTGACAGAATCCAATGATGATGCCTTCTTTTTCAGGTGGGGGAAAGTCAGACCCAAATAGCTTAAATAAATTGCCTAAGATCCCACAGCTGGCAAAGTATGAATCCATTCCTTTTGACTTTATTCCAAGGGTTCTCTTTGTTATACTACACTGCCCACCTGACCTCCCTGCTTCTGTATCGCTCTTCTATCTCCCAACCATCTAATGCCCATAGTATTCCTATCGCTCTTTCCGTCAAGTCCCCTCCTTGCTCAGAATCCTCAATAGGTCTTGTTGTTGTTGCTAGCTGCCATTGAGTCAGCCCCCACCTCATGGCAACCCATGCACAACGGGACAAATGCTGCCCAGTTCTGCACCATCCCCATAATTGGTTGCAGACTGGACCATTGTGATCCAAAGGGTTTTCATTGGCTGATTTTTAGAAGTAGATCACTAAGCCTTTCTTCCTAGACTGTTTTAGTCTGGAAGCTCCACTGAAACCCGTTCAGCATCATAGCAACATGCAAGCCTCCACTGACAGATGCGTAGTGGCTGTGCATGAGATGCGTTGGCCAGGAATCGAACCTGAGTCTCCCACATGGAAGGTGAGAATTGTGCCACTGAACCGTCATAAGTAGGTCTTATGACCCACAAAATCAAGTTAATGTTCCTCAGAGTAGCTTTCAAGGCCTTCCTTTGGTTGATGGTGCTTATTTTATTCCACCTTTATTTTCACTATTCTTATCCCAGCCTTTTGCTCCAGTCTTGCTATATCCTTAACATCTGCAGGCTGAGGTTTTAACAGATTCTGAAGCAGACAGTTGAGGTATGTTATCAGTGCCCTTCAACCTCCAGTCACTGCTACCAGGTGTGTACCTTCTGCAGGGAGAGAGGCAGCCTTGACATCAGAAATAATCTCAAGAAATAAGAAAGAGAAGTCACTTCATTCTCAAATTTCCCTGAGGTTCAGTGCTAGACACAGTCTCAACCTCACAACAACCCTGGCAAACAGATATTTTCTCCATTTTTATAGGTAAGAAAACAGAGGTTCATTCAGATCAAGTAACTTGCCCACAGGTAGAGCTAGGATTCCAATCTGAGTTGATGTGACCCAAATTGGTATAAAAGGTGTATACATTTAACGTCTTACACACAAGAATAAGGGCTTTGCATCAGTCAGACCCATGCTGGGATCCCAGCTCCAACACCTACAAGCTGGGTGTCCTTTCTCAATGTACTTAACATTTCAGAGCTCCCATTTGCCTTTCTCTAAACATGATGGCTGTAGTGAGGATAACAGGCAATATTAGATATGTGTCTTAGTTACTGAGTGCTGCTATAATAGGAATACCACAAGTGGGTGACTTTAACAAACAGAAATTTATTTTCTCACAGTTCTGGAGACTGGAAGTCTGAATTCAGGGTACTGGTTCTAGGGCAAGACTTTCTTTAACTGCTGGCTCTGGAGGAAGGTCTTTGTCTCTTTGAGCTTCCACTCCTAGGTGACCTACATGTGGCTTGGCATCTTTCTTCCCCCATCTCTGCTCTGCTCCCTTGTTTAATGTCTTTTGTATCTCAAAAGAGATTGATTCAAGATATACCCTATACTAATCCTGCCTTATTAACATAACAAAGACAACCCATTCCCAAATGCGATTGTAAATATAGGGCATAGAGGTTAGGATTTAAAACTCATATTTTGAGGGGACACAGTTCAACCCATAACAATATGGAAACACTTAGCAGAGTGGGCCCTTCTCATTCCCTTGAGAGAAAAAGTCTGCATTCTTCTGGCCATAGATTGGATTGATAGTATTCTGCCTATGGATTCTTTAGCTTTATATTTTTCCTGTTTTAACTATTATCTTACGGTTCTATAAAGAAACAGAACCAGTGAGATAGATAGATAGACAGACAGATTGATTGAGTAATCAATTTACTGCAGAGGATTGACTCACACAGTTGTGGGGGCTGGCAAGTCCAAAATCTGTAGGTCAGGTGACAGGTTGGAGACTTTTGCAGGCTTGCATTCCAAGATCTGTAGGTCAGGCAATGGAAAGAGTGCAGAGTGGAAAGAGAGAGCAAATTCTGCCAAAATATCTATTTATAATTCGGAGGCACAACACTACGTAAGGAAACTCTCTTTTCAACTGATTGAGTGATTACATTATGTTATGGAAGGTGATTACATTACATTAGATTACATTATGGAACAGCAACGAGATTAGGTTTGGCCAGACCACTGGGAACCATAGTCTAGCCAAGTTGACAAATAAAATTAGCCATCTTAACTGTCTAGGTGTGGAAACCCTGGTGGAACTGTGTAGTTCAATTAAGTGCTAATATTTTAAGCCTGTCCTGACTGACAAGTTCCAGGTCATGGTTCTCATCCAGGCCACTAAAGATCTACTTAAATATTGCCCCAAATCCTCAGAAAATACTCAAGGTATGAGATAACCCAATCTCTTCAGGGCATGCAGAGAAGTAGTAGGCTCAGGACCCAGCAACCATGCCCCATTCCCTCTGTCCAACTCATAAGAGCCAGTCCCAGTGGCCAAGACTCGCTCCCTGCAAAATTAGTGACATGAGAGACAAGAGAACTGTCTTCTCCTACAGTCAGGGCGTAAACTAAAAGAGGTGGCTGCCCCAGGTGAAACAACTTCCTCAGGCTAGGGATGGAGAAGGGCAGGTAGAGGTCTGCCCTGGAGAACTGTGTGTACAAAAGTTGGTATTTGCTTTATTTCCCCTTCTATGCACACGTGGAACTGAAGCCCTGAAGTGGAAGCATTAGTTGTGATCCAGCAGAACAGGAAAAGATGGCAAAAATGTTAGAAAGGGTGCACCTGGGAGGTCTGGGTAGGATGGTGGGTAGGGAGTATTTATTCCTGTCACCCCACTAAGCCCTAAGAGTGAGGTTTTACCAATCCCTACTCTGTAGGAGGAGAAGGATCCAGCTACTCTCTCCATGATGTTAGGTATAGAACTACAGGGAAGGAAGTTCCATGCATTTGTGGAGAGAACTCAGCATTGTGAATGCTTTATCTCTTTGCTGCACTAAGTGTGGCCTAGGGACCAGCCACATGGGCATTAGCTGGGAGCTTGAAAGAAATGAAGACTCTCAAGCCCAATCCCAGACCTAAGGAATCAGAATCTGTATTTCAAGAAGATCCCCAGGGGGTTGTAATGCACACTACAGTTTAAGAAATGTTTCTGTATCTGCTCCTCATCCTAGTGTGGGTTGCTTAGCTCTTAAATGTCTCCAAGGTAGGGATGACTCTGGGTAATGACTTCTTTGAGCAAGCGCTGCCCTGACCCAAGGGGAAGAGGCAGAAAAACGTAAGGGCAGGGAGTGGGCAGGAGATGTAGAGAAACCAAGCACCTTATTTCTGGATGTAGCCAGGAAGTACTTAGAACCATTGCCATATTCTAAATTACCCTTCACACTACTGCCATCATCTGTCAGTTTGTCATATTGTGATGACTTGCTTGTTGCTATGATGTTGGAAACTATGTTACTGGTATTTCAAATACCAGCATGGTCACCTATGGTGGACAGTTTTCAGTGGAGCTTCTAGACTAAGACAGAATAGGAAGAAAGGCCTGATGATCCACTTTTGAAAATTAGCCAACAAAAACCTTATGGATCACAACAAAATATTGTCCAATATAGTGCTGGAAGATGAACCCTCTAGGTTATAATGCCCTCAAAATACACAGTGGCTGCAACAATGGACTCGAACATACCAGTGATCATGAAAATAGTGCAGGACTGGGCAACATTTCATTCTTTTATACATATGGTTGCACGAATCAGAGCCAACTTGATGGCAACTGTTATGAATTGAATTGTGTCCCCCAAAATATGTGTCAACTTAGCTAGGCCATAACCCAGTATTGTATTGTTGTCCACCATTTCGTGATTTGATATGATTATCCTCTGTGTTGTAAATCCTAACCCCTATGATGTTAATGAGTGAGGATTAGAGGCAGCTATTAATGAGGCAGGACTCAATCTACAGGATTAGGTTGTATCTTGAGTCAATCTCTTTTGAGATATAAAAGAGAAAATCGAG